TGCAAATTTTTCCATTCACAAAGCAAGCAGAAGTCCATGCAATACAAGAGTTAATAAAGAAAAGTTTGAAAGGTAAACAGATTCCTAAATGTAGGGAGTGGGGTTTGATTCTTATTGTAAGATAAGAGTGAGAAAAAAAGGAAAGGATTGGAGAAGGTCTAGGGTGGGATGAGGAACATATGCAATTTTTTGATGTGAGGGATTTCAATATGATATGGCTTGTGGATTCTTAGTGGGCAGGAAAAATGTGGGATATACCAGACAGGGAAGTGAGGAAGGGGCGTCCATTTGGAAAACAAGAAAGAAGAAAGTGATAGGGGTGGATTGGATTTTGGTAAAATAGAAGATATTTGACATGCAATATGTAAGTGTTTTGGGGACTGTAAGGGCTAATAAGAATGGCTCCAATAGCCATTTTAGTTTTGATTAAGATTGATGATTTTAAGAATTTTTTCACTGGCTGATCCATATGCTATCGGTCCTTACTTGATCTTAGGATTGGATATGAGTTTTTTTTTAAAGTATAAACAAGCTACTCCTCTATGCTCCTCTGTGGGTAAGCGTTAATTGGCGGAAGAAGTTTCGTTGGTTTTTCAACTCTACTAGAACGTTATTTAAAATCCTGGATATATCAACGTAAAGTATATTATATGAAGAAGTGTTTTTAAAATTTGACAAGTTGTAGGTATTTTTTTGTAACCTCAGTAGAACGTGCAATCATGACCAAAATTTTTAATTTTTTAATTTTGACATGTTCCAACTGATATTGGCTAACATTTTATGTCATTCAAATTATTGCAAATAGAAGTATTTTACAGCAAATTTAGCGTTATTTCAAATTAATTAAGGTATTTAGTTGAGATGAAAAAAAGCTAATGGCACGAGAGGGATTCGAACCCACGACCCTCGGCTAGATACGCCGCTGCTCTACCACCTGAGCTATCGTGACCTCGATCCACTCGGACACCAACTCCATATCTCAACCCCACCTTATGAGTTTGTTTGAGATGGGGAATTGGTGTCCGAGTGGATCGAGGTCACGATAGCTCAGGTGGTAGAGCAGCGGCGTATCTAGCCGAGGGTCGTGGGTTCGAATCCCTCTCGTGCCATTAGCTTTTTTTCATCTNGTACAATGGGGTATAAACGGATACGGTACAATACGTATAATATGGTAAAATACGGTACAATACAATATAATATCATATAATATAAATTTTGTGATATATATGTCATTATACTGTGATGACGAAACAACAAAACTGTTTGTTGGAATTGTTGATAGGGTCGTCATGGCAACTGGAGCGTTGTTTTTAAACAATTCCCCCTACCCAAAAGTTGACCTAGTGTCCTGAGGACATGATTTGCCATTTTGATTTAGTGTTTTCATTTCCCTATTTAAATCTCCTAGGCGAAGTAGTAGGGATGATGATGAAACTTCACTTTCCAGCTGTAGGACAGCTGATAAGGTTTCAAGGACTGAATATCCTTCGAGTAAATACATCGGCTCCGTCTTCGGTCGTCAGTCGTGAGCCTCCTTCCAACTGTAAAGGGTCCCAACAGTCAAGTATTTGCTGGCAGATTGTTTTCTGAGAAAATGCTGAGAAATTTTCGTGCTGTCATCCTCGGAGCCCCCGGCTCGGGAAAAGGTACCATCTCGTCAAGGATCGTCCGTAAGTTTGAAATGAAACATATATCGAGCGGTGATCTGCTTAGAAATAATATAATGAATAAAACCCCTTTGGGCCTGGACGTCAAAAAGTACATGGATAAGGGCCAACTGGTGCCAGACGAGGTTATGATCGACCTTGTCCTAGAAGAAATAGGAAAGAATCAGGACACGAGCTGGCTCCTGGACGGTTTCCCCAGAACGAAACCCCAGGCGCAGACCTTATTGGTGAAATCTCCAATCGATGCAGCTATCAACCTGATTGTACCATTTGATGTAATCATCGACAGAATTCAAAAGCGCTGGGTCCACCTGCCCAGCGGACGGGTGTACAACACAGATTTCAATCCTCCGAAAACCCCCGGGGTGGATGATATCACTGGTGAGAAACTGCAACAGAGAGATGACGACAATCCGGTCTCTGTACAGAAACGCCTTGAAATCTATGCTAAGACTTTCGGACCTCTCTTAGACTTTTACAGAGAAGAAGGTATACTGGAAGAGTTCTCCGGTAACACTTCTGATGAAATATGGCCTATGGTGTACAAATACTTACACCACCATCTTACACCAATTACTCAAGACCTTAAAGTTTAATCAGATCCATTTTAACATGAGAGCACTATGAAAACAATCGCCAGCAAATATTCATTATTATTCAGATTGCGAGATGAACTGAGTTTCAGTTCAACAACGATGACTGTAAGTATTTAGATGAGTATTTCATAGATAGATAATAGATAAATAAGAATGGTTTTGGATATGAATGTTATACTATTATTACAGTTATTTAGACATATATTGCAAATGTTAGCATTTAAGTGTGATATGATGAAATATGTCGCTAAACTTATTCACTAGTCAGGAATTCAGTAAAGTATCATGACAGTGCTGCTCAAAAATGTATTAATATATCAAAAATTAATTTTCTATATTGGCACTCAAATAGTTGTATATTGAGAGAGAAAATTTCTCCTTGGTTATTTTATATATTTATATCATCTTATTATTTTTCCTATGACTATGTATCATACATGATAAACTTCGAGACCTCACAAGATGTTAATTCATAGCTTTTACTGTCCTTCATAGGATAAAATATTGTCCTACATTTAAAAATTAATAAAGCTTCCCATTTGTCATTTTATATTATATTGTACAGCAACATTGTTTCATTATGAAATTCGGTCTGCATGTTGAAACTATATCGTTGCGAATCATCCTGGTTTGCTTATTCTTGTTGATTTTGTCTGCTTTCACCAACTTTATTAATGATCAGCTAAATCGCTTCTGACATAAATGCTATGCTAAGATAATTCACGATCAAGTTTCAAACTGTGTCAACAGGGTTTCTTTCAAGTTTGTGAAAAAAGAAAAGACAAAAAATATACTCTTGTGATGGCCATGACAAAAGTAAATTTACTTTTATCTACAACGCTTTAAAAATAAGTCCGATTGTACCGAAGGACAAGTGAAGGATGGGAAATAAAAGTAAAATGTGTTTTAACTGACAATATATCATTCCGTAATAGTGCACTTATTGTTTTAATACTAAATCAAAGGACAACTTTACTGCACAATACTTAATTTATAATAAATCAAAAATAACCAAGGAGAGGTTTAAATAGTTCAATATTTTTATACAATTAATAATATTTTATATATTTAAACAATAAACTTTTAAGTCAAATGAAAATGATAGGTAAACAGTAGTCAACGTTGTATTACTGAAAGTTAGATTTGAACATCTGCATCTTTGTGTCTCACTAATCTCTAGTCTTTTTATCTTTAGCAAACATATTTCAATATAATGCAGTGATAATAGCGCCAAAAATAAATATTTATATTTTGATATAATTCAGTATTTTGGATTATAATTAGCCTATAGAAACACCAACTATATGAACTGAAACTCAGAAAGTATTATAAATTATTTTCCAAAGAATTTTTGATCGTCTATCAATCAAACAATAAGGTATAAAGTATTTGATGTATATAGTAATAAAAAATTAATTACAGACATTGCCTTGCATACACATCAGTGTAAAATTGTATCAAAAAAAGAAAATCTCATTTTTATTTCCTATTTATTTGTGTATTTTTAAAATTAATTAAATTTTTATCCTTATTTATTTTACAGAAACAAATAATTATATATTTTTTATTTATATCAGAATAATCTCTCTTTCAATCTCAAATTTATGTTTGTAACTTATTTTTGTACTTTGTATTTAAAGGAAAATTCTTCTCTCCTGCTCTCTCCCTCTCTGTTAGTTGAAAAGGCAACAAAATGAAACAGTCATAAATGTGTCAAAGCCCAGCTATCATTGTACAAAAAATATAAAAAAAATAAGGTCAAACCTGCCCTTGAAAATATATAACAATAGAATAATATCATTTTTGTATATCATAAATACAATTGTAAAAAAAACAACAAAAGCAGGTTTGATTTTTATACTAATTTATGTATGATTATATTATTTCTGTTCAAAAACTAACATATTTTCGCTGTTTTTTCTTTTCCTTGACCAGATTTCTTTTAAGCTTTCTAGGAAATGTATTTTCCATTTTATGTATTATCATAACTTACCAAATAATTGTATTATATACATTCTAAAAAAAATTATTTATGACAATATTGAGTATGATGTGGTCTAATGTTCATACATTTTTCTCATATACCTGATTGAAATAGAGTACCAATTATAACATTTTTAAAATGTAAATGTATTTAATGTAGTTTTAACTAAAGTAAAAGATTATTTATAAAAAGCGTATATTGTGATCTGACATGCCTTATATTTCATGTATTATTAAGTATATAAAATGAAACAATATCCTAACAATGAAACAAAGCTTGTGTATCTCTAAGCAAGGATTGTGTATCTCAAATTATTTGCTATCACAGATAATCTATCAAACGTTATATTTTTTATATTATATTGTAATTATATATTATATTGTATTTAATAAATTATATTTAAAACTTTCTTTTTGTTAGTAGGTGCTTCTAAAAGCTATTTTAAAACCTTCTCGTTTAAAAATTTTACTAACTTTTTCCTATAATTCACCAATGTATGGTGAGCGCCATGAAAAAAACTTCATTGCTTTCAAAAAAAGCTTCTCATTGGAATGTCGCATTGGCGGGGATATCAGCGGGTTCACTTTTGCAATTCATGTCGAGAGACGTAGAAATCCTTCAACCTGATGATGAGCTAAGGGCTCGAAATTCGGATTGTTGTAAAACAACTTACTGTTAGTAGGAACTATCTTTTTAAAAAAAAAGGATTGAACACTGCACTCACTCCATCATTCACCATTTCTAAAACTCAAGTTGCTTTGTTTAAGTTTTATTTTTATATCAGGTACAGTGACAATTTAAAAAAATACAGGGCAATTATCACACTAATTATGACTTTGCATATAAATAATATTTATCCGGTGAATAATCAAACATTTCAAAATCTAATTCGAACTTCTTGTACAGTTCTTTTATTTGTTTTCGGGTCAGCTGTGAGAAATACAATTTTGTAATATGTTCTTTGGAAACTTCCAAAGGAGATGTCTTGTGGATCCAGGATGGCTTGATTTTATCGCCTAACTGAGCATCCTTTATTACAAACATTTGGTCCCGTTCCATCGTCTCGACCTTATTAATATAATCGTACTCAACAAGGCAAGGAGTGCAGAACATGTTGTATGGAATCCAATGATCATCAGCATAATTCAGTAAATCAGTATTGATTAAATACCTGTAACAATAATTATTTTTAGTAAACATACTGTCAGGTTGGTGGTAATAGTAAATACATGTTGATCAGTTTAATATATGCTGATTGCTGTTGGGTTTAATATGGCTTTTTTCATTAAATTAACCCTTTTTATCTTCAAATTAAAATTTTTTAATTTCAAATTAACCTTTTCTTTAGATAAAATAAAATAATAAAAACTTACAAACCATGTGGAAATTAATTACAATTGAAGTTAAAACCAAAAGTAATACATAATTAAATATAAAAGCATTATTCTCAATTAATTTCACTAATTGTGTGGTCCGCTTGACCAATTAGTATATTACAATTAATTAAGGTTTTTAGTTGAGATAAAAAAGTCAATGGCACGAGTGGGATTCGAACCCACGATCTTCGGCTTGATACGCCGATGCTCTACTAAAAAATGGCAAAAAGGAGGGAAAATTCAAAAGGTGCGGTTGAGATGGGAAGTTGGTGTCCGAGTGGATCGAGGTCATGATAGCTCAAGTGGAAGAGCATCGGTGTATCAAGCCGAAGATCGTGGGTTCGAATCCCGCTCGTGCCATTGACTTTTTTTATCTCAACTAAAAACCTTAATTAATTGTAAATTCTCAATTAAGTCGAGACTACTTTTTTCCATGTTTTTCATGTCCTACAGTTTTTCTAACTGAAATCAGGGTTATTGGAAGAATTAATTATTGAAGCTTAAAGTATTGTTGGTATAGTTAGTCAAATAAGAATCACAAGCTACAGAGAAGAGTTGACAAAACAAAATTTAGAAACACATAAATGCTGTTACTTTAGTGAAAGTTGGTACTTAGATTTTGTATGCCTTTTTTTATAGGTTATTTAATACCTTACAAACTCCTCGAATGTTGGCTCTATTCCTGTTGGTTTGGGGTGCTTTGGGTTTAAATAATAAGACCCCGGTTTTAAAATGGCTACCATTTTATCCCCTCCTTTTCTGTACTTCTGTACAATTTTTGCTCCATACTTTCTGTAAAAGTGATGCGTACCATGCTCCCTCCCAATGTTTATGTTCTCTAACTTGTCTCGGTATGCAGAGAGTAAACGATCAAAAGGATGACGAACCATCATCAATTTTTTTGTGTTTGGAAGCACCTAAAACAAATAAAGTATAACAATTAGTGAGTTAAACTGTACCAAGAGGATTCCTGAAAAATTAATATAATTTTATTAATAAATAATTTATGATTTCTTTTACTTGTCAGATTAAACATTATTTAATGAAATATACAAGCTGCTCTCTTGATATTACAAAACAAAATTGATTATTACCACTACTGCCTGGTCATATTCTAATTCAGGGTATATCCTCCTTGCAATTGTTGATAATTGCTCTTTGCTGTTTTTTATTCCAGTTTCAGATTCTCCTCCTAGTATACAAAGGTTAAATAGCCATGTAGATGACCCTGCTTTATAGACAGGACAAATGGAAAGATTGTCATGCCTAAAATTGTTATAATATGTATTAATTTAAAGGCAATTTTAGCTAGTGATCACATACATATTATAATAAAACACTGAATACTGTGGTGCTGGTGGGTATTTAAATGACTTATTTTCAGAAGATGCATTTTGATAAAGACCTATGTTGTACTTGGTGCAAACATCTTTAATTCGTTTCAACCTATGGGCATTGTCAAGACTGGCAACATCCTGAAAATATATTTCAATAAATAGTACAAAGTTCTGTGTTATACATATCAGAATTATATTTCTCACGGCAAGCAATGAGAATCACCTACTTCACTATTGTGCAGTTGGAGGTGAGACCTCACTCTTGTCCGCCCTGCCAACCAAAGTAAGGCTCCTTGGCTATAGACATTTCAACCCAATACATGCAGTTTATAAACATAGACCTCACAATTTCATTCATTTTTAAATGCATTTCAATGTTGATGGAGTACTCAATATCCTGCCATCAGCACCACACACACACATACCAATAAATACCTCCATTTAACACAAAAGTTATTTATAATATGCAGTAGACGACCTGTTCCCTAGTGGGAAAAAAGTTTCATTCATTCATTTCATTTTTGTCTAGTTGGTATTGCCTTTTCTTAGGATTTTTCTAATATTTTTTTTCTCCTCCTAAGTTAGGCTCCAAGGTCTGTCAATAGCTAGGTCAATTTCAGCCCCAAATGCATTAGTTTTTACATCTAAACACATCTCACTCACTCTTAAATACATTCTGTCCTATTTACTCGCCATTCACTCAATTAGGGTCACTCAATATTCCTCAAACACTATTAACACATATTATCCATATCTAACTAATCCAGTTGAAAGTCTATTGAGTACTCAATATTCCACATTTGTCCCATTCACACTAATAAATACATTCATTCCCAATTCTCAATTTACATAAAGAAACACAAGATGAGATATCTATAAAGCTCTATTCCTTCCAAAAATCTGAACAGGGGATCCAAAAATATTCAGTGTAGTACAGTAAAAATTGTTTAAATGAACACCGGTTGTAAAAACATCGATTATAAGAACGAAATTTCTAGTTCCCAGTCACCTTTAATACAACTTAATGTATAAAATATCTGGTTGTAAGAACATCGTTAGTAAGAACATATAGCTTTTAATGACCTAAAGTTATTGTATTTCTGAGAAAACAAATCTTTTGTAAGAACTTCATGAGAAAATAACAGCACACATCAGAAAACAAACACTTCAAAACTGGGCTCAAGATTTGCTCATTGAAAACAGTTTGCTTCAAGGATATGAAGATGTAGTCTTGAGTCTTGCTACCCATGGAATCATCACAGAAGAAGAAATTGTTTCACGGGTCAAAGCAGAAGAAAATGATCTAGAAGAAGACAATGCCATAACAGATTATTTAATCGAATTTTCGTGCTCCACTTTGAAGGAAATGTTCTCAGCTATAACTGTGGTAAATAAATTTTTAACATATAATGACAATTTTGCAGAGGAATCTTTGAAAATGACAGTGAAAGAAGAAGAAACACCATTACAGAAAATGCTTTTTACATTCATAAAAAAAATAAACAAACCAATATTACAGACTGTTTTTCAGTTTTGCTGTAAATAAAACTTTTTTAATAAACCTTTTGGGTTTTATCCTAAAAACCAAAAAAAGAAAAATAAAAAGGGCCTGAAAATTTTAGTTCCAAACTTGTTACTAAATGGGATTGCTAATTTCAACCCCTTAAAAGTAGTTCCAGAGGAATGACTGAAAGAGCCTTCAACTTTCAAAAAATTGATCAACAATTAAACAAAAAATTGATTACCGGATATAGCAACTATCGGGCTTAAGAACCAAGTTCAGACGGTCCCTTGGATGTTCTTATAAACGATTTTTACTGTGCTCAAACACGATTTTCGTTCAAGTTATTGTTAGAAATGATAAAGGATGGAGTGAGTGTGGTGTTCAATCCTTTTAAAAAGATAGTTCCTACTCACAGTAAGTTGTTTTGCAACGATCTGGATTACGAGCCTTTTAGCTCATCATCAGGTTGAAGGACTTCTACAACCTGATGATGAGCTAAAAGGCTCGAAATCCGGATCGTTGCAAAACAACTTACTGTGAGTAGGAACTATCTTTTTAAAAGGATCGAATTTATTGTTGTTAAGGATACTTTTATAAAATAGTTCTTCTTTCCATACGTCTATATCCACAAATAAAAGAAAGAAGGACTATTTGATTGCATTCTATATAATCGTTTTCTTTTTAAACTTTTGGAAGACATATAAACGCTATACCAATTGTCACCTTAGCAATTAGTATAAATTATTAATATAATTAAAGAGCTAGTGAAAGTTGGCGTGAATGTCGTGGGTTTAACTTGATGAAATCGTGACCAATTGTCGGAATACACTGCTGGCTTACTTCTAGAGTTTGATGATGTTCATGTCTGGCTGTTGAAGTGTTACGAGTCAAGACGATGGGCTCCGGCTTGAAATCTGTCAACTTTTTGTGCATGAAGAGGCCTGTCAGCAACAGCCAGCAAATAAACAGAGATACGGCTAGGGCCAACCTTTTGTATAAATAGGGCCTACATATTGGTGACATCGTTTCTGAAAAAAACTGTTACTCATATAATAATTGCATTTTCCGACTTTTACGCTTTCCCACATGCTGTGTCCAAGATTTATGTTTCTTTCAACTTTTCTTTATGTTAATACAACTCCAACAAAAACAGGCCGACCTGTTTTGATTAATCGAAAATATTATATTTGGTTGGCCGGAAAATAATGCAGATTTATGGTTACAAAATAAAAACAATTAAATAAATCATTTTAAACATTTTTTATTAATTAAAATAACCTCCATCACTCCCAACACACTTTCCCCAACGTGATGGCAACTTCTCTATACCCTTTGAATAGAATTTTGTCTTTACATAGCAAATGTTTATTTATTTTTTACGAGGGTTCGCAACATCAGAGGTCATATATACCCTCGGGGTGCTGGTGTTTTTGAAAAAAAAGCCCATTTGTAGTATGTCGGGTTCGAATCCAGCGGCCCTGTATTCGAACCCGGGACCTTTTCCTTACAGTGATGAGCGCCGTGTCAACGCCTAAACCGTTGCGGCCACCGATGCCCCAACAAATATTGTAAACGCATTTTCAAGTGTCTTTGGATCAATAGATTTTTTGTTGTCAAGGTGTCTGAAAAAATGGTAGTCGGTAGGCGAGAGCTCTGAGGATGAGGCAGAACCTCATAACGAAAATCCTACAGTTTTCGTGTACACATTGTCGTGTAGCAGAATCGGCCTTTTCCGTTTCACCAAAGATGGCTTCACTAATGTCAATTTCTGATGCATTGCTTCAATTTGAAAGCATACATTTCGGCATTGATTATTTCGCCAGGATTCAAGAAGCTATAGTAAATCATCCCAAATGAAGCCCATCAAAGAGTCACTATCAACTTTTCTGACAAGCGGTGGGCATTGGAAAGTGTGGTGCTGCTTCTCTTTTATCGAGCCACCGTTCAGAAAGTATGCGTTAATGTAGGGAATCCATTTTTCACCACAAGTGAAAATTTTATCCATAAAAGGTTCGTTTCTGTTTCGACAAAGAGTGCTGCGCAAATCTCACAACGATGGTTTTTTGGCGGTCGTTTAATGCTTGAGGAACACAATTTTCGAGTTTGGTAGTCAGAGACGGTCGATTTGCTAACTGAAAGTTTCTCTGCAAGGTCTCGAACAGTTGTTCGGGGATTTTCATCAACCAAAGCTCGCAGAACATCATCATCTAGGGAAAAAAATCCTTCCACGACCTTCTTTGTCTTCAAGGCTAAAGTATCCCTCTCAAAATTTTTTAAACCATCTCTCATGGTTTAAACCAACCCATTCTCATTCAAACTGTCATCGCCCCAGACTTCATTAATGCTTCCGGTTTAGGCACCGTTCCGGCCGAATTTAAGCTCGTAAAACGAAATTACGCGAAAATCACGGGTTGACATCTTTGAAAAGTGTGGTGATTAGTGACCGTTTATCGATGATTATTCAGAAATCGTGAGATGTGGTCTGGTGAGATGTAGGTTTCAGAAAAACATTTCCTTTATCGTGTCAACGTTTCGATCTTTATTGAGATCATCTTCAGGGCTCAAAATATTTGTTTTCTGCGTAATTGTGCCATTGTGCTTGCGTGTCGTATTGAGAGTGCCCTGAATTACGCAGAAAACAAATATTTGAGCCCTGAAGATGATCTCAATAAAGATCGAAACGTGGCACGATAAAGAAAATGTTTTTCTGAAACCTACATCTCACCAGACCGCATCTCACAATTTCTGAATAATCTTTGAAAAGACAAATAAATAATAATAAATACTACTGAACAAACATTTTTGTTTGGAAGGGCATTAAAAAGTGTTGACATTCGTACAAAAGGAATCTACCAAACGTAAACATTTTATTACATAGAGGGTTAATTGAAAGAAAACATGACAAATCTGCATTAGTTTCCGGACAACTCAATACAATATACTCGAACAGATTCGGCAAATTTTGTCACTGGTTTTGAAGCGTTTAGGCATCAGTGGTTGGTCTGTGTGATATTTTGTCAGTCTGTCCCTTTTAGATGTCAAACACCATAATTACAAGTGGCGAAATAGCGAAACACGACAAAACAGCAGATTTCTGAGATGAACTATTTACAAATAGAAAATGATTTTGTTCCACCTTGTCAGAAGTTAGAACTTATTACATGTGACTACCATTTGTAAGTATGTCGGGTTAGAATGCAGGGCCGCTGGATTCGAACCCGGGACCTTTACTTTACAGTGATGAGCGCCGTGACAACGCCTAAACCGCTGCGGCCACCGACGCCCCCTACAAGTATGTTACCATAGTTATTAAAATAAACCATTTTTAATAAGCAACATTAAATGTAAATTTAATTTCTGATGAAATTAATTTGAAATCTGGCAGCTAACTCGAGTCGGTTATTCTTGCCAAAGTTATAATCAGTATGCTTTGGTTCTTTCGTGTGAGTCGTCGAGGGATTATTTTATCAAAACATTGAATTGATCGTACAAATTAAATTTTTTTAAAAATAGAATAACCTCGTAGATAATAGTTTGAGATCGAATTGAAAAATGAAAGTAAAACCAAATCAAGTAGTAAAAAGAGATTACGATTTATCGGGTTGAGGTATAAACCTGTAGTTTTATCTGCCACCGAATTGTGGTTTGCTAATTTTCGTTTCCAGTGTCACCAACTTCTTTGGTTTGACTGTCTATCATTTAAAGTCCTCGAACATTATAATATTTTAATCCTGAATTAAAGAGATATGACTGTTGTATACAATTATATTATAGAATTTTTTTCACCCTGTCATGGCAGTTCAATTCAATTTTAGTGTAAATTTAAATTGCTGTTATATTTTAGTTTAAACTTTCTGTGAGAATTATTGTTTGTTGGTGTCGTTTATAACTAAGAAAATGTAAAGGAAATGTACGTACATAACACAACTCAGCAGACGGACTCCAGTCCATGCTCAGGTTTATTCAATGATTATCGATACTGTGTAAAAGAATAAAATAAAATATTTTAAAAATCTCCGATAATTAGTCTTTAAAAAAGGTTTTGTAAAAAATATTTTGAGAAGGACAGACAGATCGGAATATCCGAAGATGAAGAGTTCAGACTTCAACAGATCTCACAATTTCTGTTTGCTTGGGTCACCCAGAGTCCTTTTGATCCCATCAACCAAGTCGTTCGAGAGATTTTTAAAAATTCATTTTTCATACTTTCCATGGTAGTGAAAGTACACTCAATGTATAGCTAGATCCTAGTCTTAATTATGTATAAGCGATCCAACAGAGTAAGGAATTGTTGTTTTATTAGTTGGTCGATAGGACTGATGTTAAACCTTCGCAGAATATGCCTTGGAGTAGTTCATTGATTATTTTTCTTCAAGTATCGTTTTAAACTACATGATCCAATAAAGGGTGAGAAATATTGAGCTTTTCTTTCATAACCGCCGCAAGGTGAGTGCGGTCTGACAACTTGATTCATCGTTTTTTCTCAACATAATAGGGTAAGATTATGCAAATCACTGAATAAGTATAGCATGTACAAAATTTAACGTCTGTTCATTTGTGTTTGTATTAAAGAACGATTGTTTTGTATATGAAATATACTCCTATACATATTTGAGAAGGAAAAAAAATTATTTGAGATTTACAGTAGGGACATGTTTGATGACCTCCGATCTCCATGGTTTCGCATGTCTTTTTGGGTCTGTCCCTGGGGTTTTACACTAAAGCCGATCTGAGCTCAAATCGCCAGTATATAACAGCGCAAAGATTTGTGAAATCAGTGAAAGTTTGTTTTTGTTGTTGTTGAAAGACAGTAGATATCAGATTACCAATTAATTCAATCCATGTTAATAGTCCAGATTTGCCGCCTTCCGACTAAAAATACGATTTAATATCAAATAAAAACGTAATTGATATAGATTTAGTTACCACCATCAATTGTTAATTCTAAATGTGAACTTGGACCACAACCCACATCTATAATGTATAATTCGAAAAACGGGAGATGCGGTCTGGTGTGAGGTACGTTTCAGAAAAACATTTCCTTTATCGTGCCAACGTTTCGATCTTTATTGAGATCATCTTCAGGGCTCAAAGTATTTGTTTTCTGCGTAATTCAGGGCACTCTCAATACGACACGCAAGCACAATGGCATCATTACGCAGAAAACAAATACTTTGAGCCCTGAAGATGATCTCAATAAAGATCGAAACGTTGGCACGATAAAGGAAATATTTTTCTGAAACCTACATCACACCAGACCGCATCTCACGATTTTCGAATAATTATTGACTAACGGTCACTAATCACACACATTTCTATAATGTATAGTAGAATGATGTATAGTGATTTTTATGTAATATACAAAAAGAACATTATGAGTGAATATCATAGAAGTTGGGTCAATCAACCAGTGGGGTTGTTGCTTAGTTATAATTAAGATAGATAAAAAATAAACAATTGATCTTTTGTTAAACAGAAAAAATTAGAAATCAATCAAACCAATCATTAATCAGTTTTTGTTTTATAAAGAAATGTTATAATTTTTCCCGTTCATTACACGATATAGAAAGCAAGAAAAGTAATATTAGATAATAAAGGGAATTATTATATAAATAGAACAATAGAGCCAAAGAGGACTGAATATAAGCACCAATACGAAGGTAAAAATAGAAAGTAAAACCATTGTGAACATTCTAAAAGTTAAAGTTTTGAATGAACACCTATCGATAATTCCATGCAGTCCTACAATAATTAAAAATTATAAATTCTTCTAGAGTACTCTTGCCAAAGAACATAAAGTAACATAAATCCTCTGACTCATCCCTAAAATACAATTTAGGTCATACCTGGCTTTGAATTAATTAGGAATTATTACTAGTTCTATAAATAAGCCATCACCTCGTTCATATAACATTATATTTTGTAACGCTGAAATGTGTCAGAATTAATGGTGCATAGAGCGTGAACGTGAATGCAATTATGTATTAAGGCGGTGTCGATAAGTCACAAGTCGCAACTATACTACAAACAATTTTTCTAAGACGCCGTCAATTAAAAAGTCCGGAAATATTAATGGTTTAGAATCGAGCACTCACCTCAGGTGTCTGTGATCATTGTTGAGTAAAAACTGAGGTGGAGTTGCCTCTTGTTCTGAACTGGAAGGCCTTGGAAATGAAGAGGTGGGAGTTTATTTTCAATTTCAAGTTCTAAACCGTATGCGGGTTATAGTGATAGAGCATAAACGATGTTACCGAATCTCGTATTAGCTCAGTTTGGAATTTGATTTTTAATATAGACCAAACAATTATATTTTATGCTTAAACAATAGTAATAATAATAAAAAAGTGTTGCTCTTTTTAATAATTTTTTGATTGGCTAGAAAGAAATTAGAGAGCAACTTACAAAACAAAAACTACACGTTTTATTAAAAATAAATAAAATAAAAATAGTGTTAGTAAAAAATCCGCCTCATAGAAGTAAAACTTCATACCGTCTTGGAATAATAATAGATTTATCTGTGGCGGATGAGATGGATACCGTTCATTCAATAGTATTTGTTTATCGTTTATACAATATGATTATTAGTTGAAACAATCAAACTCCCAGACGGATACGCTAGGATAACAGTTAAAAGTGTGAGTCCAGGGGTAGGATGGGACCACGATGTCTCTACCTGTCGTAAGAGCCGACTAAAAACGCTTCTTCACTTTTGCCCCAGTGAGGAAGAGTGCCCTCCCACGTTTTCTTTTATCCTTCCTTCTCATCTCTCCTTTGCCTTATCCTTCGCCCCCTCCAATTTGTCTCCCAAACTGGCCGTAGGTATAAAAAGCTAAAGGAAGGAAAAACCCAACAATGGAAAATAAAAATGAGATTAACCTTATGGTGCAGGGTGGAAGGTCCCAGCACCGGCGGCATACAGGGGTGCGCGAGCAGGCGCCGGGGCGTTGTCATCTGACTGAAATGTCACGAGAGTTGAACACTTGGTTCTCGGGACACAAAAGGCTTCAAGTATTCCAAAATTTGTCTGCTTAGTCCGTGATGGAGACTCTCTAACTTTTGAGCTCACGACAACGGTGCGAACGGTGACACCACCGTTAGTGTAGAAAACACCGCGAAAAGGGGCATTACACTGGAGGACGAGTGGAAACTCGCGCCTACCAAGGGGGAAAGAGCGGTAGCCCGCTCCCTAAAGGGCGAGATGGCATATGGTTCTGCATCCCCAATGTCACCAGTAGAGAAGCATACCTAAAAGACACTCACTTGCGTCAATTGTGGCGGTTGTCACACGGCCAGATCCACCATCTGTCCTGGACTCACAAAAACGACATCTGGGGCAGAGGCCTCGTCCGATATACCTTCGGACAGCTCAGTCTGGAAACAGACGTAGACATAAATGTTGACCCAGATCTAAGCCACGAAAAAACCCAGCAAAGTGAATAATGGAGTCCATTCTACAATGGAACTGGAGAGGAAGGAATAAATGACACATCTTGTAGTTCCTTATCAGGAACATGTGTCAATGGCCATCTACTTCAAGAGACCCGTATCCGATCGGGGGCCCAACTCGAATTGAAATGGTATAAAAACTTCACAAGGAAGATGCAGCCGGATCCCGGAGAAAGGGCACACGGAGGAGTAACCATTTTTACAAGAGATAACGTAAAGGCACGTGAAGTGACATTACAGACAAATATTCAGGTGGTTGCAGCTAGAATAGCAACAGCGGTACATATCACTCTCTGCTCCATCTATCTGCCTCCCGACTGATCATGGCAGGTAGTGAGGTTTCTGCCCTTTTCGATCAGCCCTAGCGATTATTTTTTTGGGAGATTTTAACGCCTAAAACCTCTGTGGGGTTGGGTACACTGATTCTAGGCTCCTACACATTTACATTTGAGTAACGGTAATCTAAGCTCAATAGACCTTTCGATAGTGTCACCGTCCCCAAATTGGCTCCATTAGAAGACCCCCCACTTGAGTGATCATTTTTCTAATACTGTGGAGGAGTTCCGATAAATGGGATCTGAAGCGTGCCGACTGGGAGCTCTTCCTCGCGCCACTGTGGACACAGGAACTAACGGGGAACGTCAATGAGGATCTCAATCGCATTAAGAAAGAGATCGCGCCGCAAGCGAGTCAATCCACAAAACCTGTGGAACTGCTTACAGACTCCTGATACCAATAAATCCTGAAGTCGATCCGTGCATTCCGACGCTTCAGAAGGCACCCGATAGAGGTACTGCGAAAATGTCAACAAATCAGTCTACAAGGTAAACTCGCGGTGTTTTAGAAAACAGGAGACTCCAGCCAGGGTGGGGTCCGCACAATCCGGGGATTACGTTCAAGAGAACGGTATCCCTTAGGGATTTGTGATGTGCGTTCCACTATTCTGGTGGCGATGAATGGAATCGCCAATTCACAACAATGTTCACAGAGGAATATTATGAGGAAAATTCAGCGACCCACCAAACAATTCTAAGCCGTATATATTACATCCTAAGAAGGTTCATAGTATTGGTAGGAGGTGCTATATTAACTATTGTAAACTTCTTTCGCCCAACCAACCGCTCATAAAAACAAATCCTTCAACTACCCTAAAACAACACACCTGCACCATTTGCGACTACCATGTTGAGAAAAAGCACGTATCAAGGCACTGCAAACAGTTTACAGTCTCATGAAAAATCAGTGGAAAATAGGTGTATAAATCAGAGGGTATTGAGTATTAATATTATTGAATATTAATTGTAATATTCTAATAGTATTCTCTGTGCAATAGAGCAACTTTCTATAATAGTCTCGTGGATTAGGGTTGTGGTCAACAAAAAGTGCATTTGTACCAACGCCGAGCTTTCGACGATATATTTCATCTTCTTCAGGGTAAATGAATTGTTGGTAAATGTTAATAAACAAATGTTGGCGAGGTAATGTAACTTAATTAATTTCTGTTTTAACTATATTGGCAACAAAGGGTTGATAAGAATGCTATGAAGTGAGAGAGGACGAAAGAGAGAGAGAGGGTGACAGTCAGAGAGCGACAGAGAGAGAGAGAGAGAGAGAGAGAGAGAGAGAGAGAGTGAGATGGGCCCCAATAAGGGTTGGAGCGATTTATGAAATGAGCTGTGAGTTGGGTTTGTAAGACGATATATCCTTTATCTTGGAAGTGATAAAAGGAGCCAAATTGTGGTACAAAAGGGTGCACGTAATATTAAGTACGGCGCAAAGCGGTTTGAACGCAACAAGGTTTTAAGAAATTCCCAAACATGGGTTTCATCCCGAGTTGATTCGGAATTAGAAATAGCATATCCATCTATATTTATCCATATATTTTGTATATTCTTTTATCTCACTCACTCACTTACTTTTTTCTTTATTCCATTCAACCATATTTAATCATTGTTTGCGGCGACGAAAATGTATAGTTGTGAGATCTGGACAGCGATAATTTTATGATTGTAATAAAAGCTCTCGTTTTACCGGTGTCGTAAAGAACAGTTTTATGGCACTAATGACAATTATTGTGGTTGAGATGGGAAGTTAGTGGCCGAGTGGATCGAAGCCTCGATAGCTCAAGTGGTAGAGCAGCGGCGAATCATGCCGAAGATCGTGGGTTCGAATCCTGCTCGTGACACTGACTTTTTTATCTCAACTAAAAACCTTAATTAATTGAAAGATATTAATTGGTCAAGCGGACCACGAAAACCAGTGAACCAATGACAATTTCCGGTGTGGGCACAACTACATCGTTATTGTGTTTTTTTGGAAACATGTGACATTTTCAAATATGCTATAAAATAACATTTGTATGATGTGTGATGAACATAGTATGATTTATTCGTATATGTTTAATATAACGAGTTGCCCGATATTACAGCAAAATCAAGTCAGGGATCAATTGATGCTTAGTCCGTATGTAATCAAGGCAGAGAGATCATCCTAATTTTCTCACTATTATTGCTATCTAAATAAACACTTCCTAAAATTCCCACCAACGTCTCTAAAGTTTCGGTCGTCGTATGTTTGTTGCATTAAATTCAGGTAAATCTAATATGTAGGTAATAATATTTCTTAACTACATTCATTGAACCAATGTGTTTTTGCGTCCTAATTTCCTGATTTAAAAAACTGTTGCATATATTTAATTTTGGCTTTAAGCTTTAATATTAATTAAACTGAGTACGTAAGTATAGCATATATTCATGGTGTAATAATACATTATATGTATATAATTACAATTATTTTAATTTGTATCAGATGCAAAACCCTTTTGTTTTATTGCGAAGAGGCTAAATATATGATAATAACAATCGTGTTAAAAAGTTACGTGACGAACGATTTTGCAAAAAAGGGGAGCAAATCTATCAAGAAAACCACCTCGCTCAGTTAAAAACCTGGTCTATGCAAATGGAGAATTCGTAACTATGTAAGTGTGTCAGGTAGAGGAAAGTGGGGGCGGGTCGATAGTCGGAGAAGGTGGTTTCAGTCAGATGGTAGCAAGAAGCGTGGAATGTTCGGGGGCAATGGATGTGAAGGCACATCACCTGACGGAGAGTGCCAAAGCGGAAAGGCGAACGACCGTCTCGACACCTCTCCGGCAGCGACCGTCGACGGGGAAGTTGCTGGAGCTGACTCCTCTCTGGGAAGCTGTTTTAAGATATAATCGTTTCCCCCAGAACGTGGACAAGACCCACGTGTTCACCGAGCTGGCCGTTCGCCTCAACGACCCGGAATGGGAAGTGCGCCAGCATGCACTGCGGGTCCTCGCAGATATTGTGCCCGTCATAGGGAAAGGTACAAGCGCTGAAGATCTAGACGCTCTCATGGTGCCCGTCGTCCTTAGCGACGTCACCCACAACTTGGGCCATCCGGCTCCCGCCGTTAGGACTAGCGCGCAGTATGTTCTTCTGGCCTACTTGAAATCGACTTCCGACCCCGAATTTGTCCTGCGATCGGTCGTTAGTGCCGGCCTCGAATCGCCGGCAGCTTCCGGAGGTCTGTCGACGACTGTGATTCACGTACTTCCGAACCTGTTGGATCAGACAGTGTCCCTCTCCCACCAGAGTCTCGTACACCTCGTTACAGCTGTATCGAAAAAGTTGACCCAAATGAACTACCAGAGGCAAGCGGTGGAGACTTTAAACAAAATTAGAAGTCACGTCGGGGAAACTCGTTTTGATCATTTCCTAGAAAGTTACTATCCCCAGGTCAAAAGAGATTTGGACGTGCTTTGTCAAGTATATCAAGTTGAACCTAGTATCAGAGATTCCGGAATAGACTTACAAAGTCCAACAACTGCGATTCAGGAAGAATATTGGAGCGAGTCAAGTATTTCCCCTACGCAGAAAATCGAAGATGTGAAACCGGAGGGCTACGACGGGGCAGAGAGCGATCAGGACTCCGAAGAAGAGAAAATGCAGGAGGAGAAAGAAAACAATAACAAAAATGAAATAAAACCTGTTAGTAATTCCGTCCCGATTCCAATTTTAGAAAATGACGGCTCTTCACCAAAAATCCAAACTCCTAAGGCCGAAGACGAAGAGAAGAAAACGCCTAGGAGAGTAAGATTCGGGGGAGAAGTGGTCAAGCTGCGAACTCCTGACAGTGACATAACCGTCGAAGTTGCAGAAGGATCAATTGCAAGTCCAACAAACGAAGCCCAAAACGATCTAGAGCCTTCCTTCGAAATTATACAGCAAAACAACGAGAAAAGAATTCGCTCGAGCCACATACCCATCCCTATCGCTCCGGTGGCTGGACGACCCAGACCGAGGTACTACGAACAACCTAAACCACCACCACCTTCGACAATTCCGAATTACGACGGTGGAGATTCTTTAACTAGCTCTTCCGAAGGTGAACAATACAAAACGAGAGACTTCTTTCAACTTCAGCAAGATGAAGAAATGATGAATTTGAGTTTTTTACCGCCAGACCTTTTGCAACTTTTAATTAAAAAGGTAACAAATGCTGAAATAATTATGTATTTTTAGACGAACATCAAATTATTTTAGCACTTTGATTTTTTTTTTCATTTTTATTGGACTTTTTGTTTGAATTATGTTATATAAAAGAGGCAGTATTATAAAACATCACAATGTTTTAACAAAGACAAAAAAGACCTGACACTCGTAAAATGCTGTTTATTTCAAACTATATGTGTGTATTTTATAGTTATATTAATTAAAACGTACTTATTTTAACGAAAACCAAACTAAACGAAATGAGAAATTCATGTTTTAATAAATATTATTTAATTGTGATGATTTAATAGAAAATGGGAAATAATTTAGTAACTGGATAAATTGTTAGTTAAATTTTAATATATCACTAAATGATTTTCCGTATTTTGGTCAATTTTATTTCAAACCATCATATTTAAATAATTTTTATTAAAACACACCAATTTCTGTTCTCATTTAAGTTGGTTTACATTGAAATAAAAATGTTATATTTAATATTAAGATAAAAAATACATTTCGTGTGAAATTAACAGATAATATGAGTTTCCAGTGTATTTAAGTCCACCCATCTCGCAGTTGTATTAAAATAGCGGAAAACTATTAAATCATGTTTTGAAAAAGTCTTTTTATGATAATTAAAAATAATTGATAAGATTAATCATTAAAAAATAATTATAACGGTTGAGTAAGGTTGTTCGATTATTTAAACAAATCTTGTAAAATTAGAGTTATAACAAGTCTTCAAAAGTCATACTTACACATTAAAGATGGTAAAATAATGAAACATAACAAAATATCATTCCAGTTTGAACTAGAACAGTTTGAATTAGAACTGACAATACCACAAATATGTTACCATAATTATTAAAATTATTTTATTTTTTCTTTAAAAGTCTTAATTTGGTTGAATATATAATATGTATATTTCAGTAATTATTTTGTTATATAAAGGCAAACATTAGGTCATAGATAATTGACGCATGGATAATTGATTTCATAATAAACAGCGTGAATGTCGAAGTATGCATGGGTGTGGCTGTGTCGGAATATCAAGTACCCACAGGCCCACCAAATTAGTATAGATGTTATATATTTGTAGTATGAGGAGAGGGACGGGTCATTGGCATTTCGTTGGTACTATACTTCCGAAGTGTAGTGGCTTGTCCAGAATGAATGTATTTATTAGCGTGAGAGGTGATGCGTGAAAGGACGTGGCTGTCGAGGAATATCGAGTACTCCACAGGCCCATCAAACAATTTAGATTAGGATAGGTTAGTGTGTGAGTGGAACTTGTAAATACAGTTTGAACGTATTTATTAGTGTGAAAGACAGGAGGCCGCAAGATCACGATAATCTTCCGACCTCCAATTTAGTTGTAGTATAGGTTAGCAAATTAGTATGAATGTGAATTATGAAAATGTGTAAATATTATATCTATGTATTTTAATTTATCACGTGTGGGAGGGTAACAACAAACAAGATAACGAATCCCCTATTAGGTGAATTAGGTGAATCGGAAGGCAACAGTTGTTTAGTTGAGGCATAAGAAGAATCAGAAAAGAATATACACATAAGATAGATAAGAAAATGCGAGAAGGTTTATATGAGAGGCGCCGGCTATGACACAGGTAGTTAGCCGGCAAAAAAAAAAAAAAAAAAAAAACAACAAAAAAAACATTAATTTATACAATTATACCTTGCTTAAACATATTCCTCATAAACGCATACTTCTTATACCCACAGTCGTGTATACACTGTTACAGCCCCGCTTGTAATACAACTTGATTTGTATATATTTGTATATATTAATCAAAGTTTCACGTTTTTTAACGTTTAATAATTGAATCTTAGTCTAAAAGAGTTTAAAAAAATGGAAAATGAAAAAAAAAGATGGTTAGATAAAATTTGTTTTAATTTTGTTTTAGCTGTTTAGTTCCTCAGTATCGCGTATTTCCTCCTGTTGCCTTAATTATAACTCGAAGACGCTTAATGATACTTTCTACCAGGCTGGAAATGTCTCTTTGCTTGAGGTTAGCCCTTTCTTCACGAAGGGTCCTTTCAAGATCGTGGTTTGTATTAGGAAATGATGGACGTGCTCTTATTTGTCTTTTGAGGTTATCCCATAAATTTTCGATGGGTTCAAGTCGGGAACGGGCTGGCCGGCTGTGACCCGGATGTTATGGCGTTGAAAGTACGTTTGTACTATGCGAGCGACATGTGGACGGATGGATCATGGGATGGGACATGATGTTCCCAAATTTCATCCACATTCGAGTGGCCGTCAAAGACCCTCGACAAAAAACAACCAACTCTGAGCGACTCTCCATTGAAATTCCCGCCCACACCATCACTGAGTTGAAAAGGTTGGTTCTGGGAAAAATCTCTGGCTTCATACCTTTCATTTCGCCTTCTCCAAACTCTTTCACGCCCAGTTGGTGATCGTAGAGCAAATCAACACTCATCTGTAAAAAGTACAGCAGACCAATCGTCAAAACAATGGCTGTGTTCTCAAGAAATGCGAGCCGCGAAACTCTATTGTCCTGGACAATTCTGGTCCCCATACGGGGCAAAAGCCATCAGCCCATACTGATTTACTCTTCGTGAAGCAGTACGTTCAAAAATTTAGACACCTTGAACTTCTTGTAGCTGATGAATCGTTTGAACAACAGTAAGATGCCGGTTTCTCAAAATTCTCAAAGTAAAAAAAAAAGGTCATCCTGTCGTTCTGTTACCCTAGGGCGTTCAATGGTAGGACCCAGTTTCCACGAATGTCTAACGGCGGCTCGCATACGCCATCAGGTAATAGCCCCATACCTGATGGAACGTCCATCATCAATAAGTGCCACACCACGCGCAACATCCTCAGCACTAAATGGCATTTTTAAGTTTAAAAATTGAAATTAAGAAAACAAAGATGACAACTAAACATTTATTTTTTCAGAATTCAAATGAGATTGAATAAATATTTTAAATTCCGTTCAAAGAAAACATTGAAAAATCATAAAAAAATAAATTACCATTAGTGTTTTGGATTAAGGATTAAGTGTATTTTAGTTAATACTCCCAATTTAAAACATAGAAGAAACAAATATTTATTGGTAAAAACAATGAGACAAATTAAAGGCAGAATTTTCTTTTTTCGAGAAAATGAAAAAATCAATTGGGTGGAATTTTTTTGTCAGTGCAGATTATCCATTTGTAAGTAAAGCTAAAGTACACTAAGTTTTCCCAATTCTATATAATTGTGTATATACGTGAGTATTATTTCCCCATTTAAGGTCACACTCCCAAACAATTTTCTCCTTATTTCGTTAAGCTTAGAACAAACACATAAAAATTGGTTTATGTATTATTTTCTAGGGAAGAAGACCGAGTTTAACAACTTGACGTCTACTCCCTTGAAACATCATATCTTAAATGAACACAAATTACTATCTTTCATTACAAATTCTAATTCCATGTGCAGCATTGCTTGTTATTTCTGGCATTTTCTATACAATTTTTGTGGTAGGTACTTAACGTAGCTTGAATTATTATTAAAGTTTTTTTTTTCAGAAAAAATATAAAGTCAAAAACTACTGAAAATATTACCATAATTATTAAAATAAACAATTAGTAATAACAAGCCAAAAACGACTTTGTGATAAAGCGTATATATTTATTAATTAGTTATAATCACAGATATTAATTATCCAATTTAAAACTTCTTTAAAAAAACTTCAATTTTCATAATAAATTATAATTTTAGTTTTTTTTATAGTTTTGTCATGATTGCTAAAAAAGAAGGAAAAGGTACACGATATTGAAGGTGAATTTAACGTTTGTAAATTCATTCCCTGGCTAAAACTTAAATGCATTTATATAAATGTGAACATATTTTGCAAGAATCTGCAGTCCAAATCTCTCGCTAAGTGAATTGTATATTTACATTTGATTTTAATATAAAATTTTGCCCCAAAGTAAATAATATGAATTCAAAGCTGAACTTGGATTTTTAGGTTTCGTTGTATAAAATTTATTAATATTACTTATTAAAAAGTACAAAAGCGTGCTGGCCAATATAACCCAGTTCTTGGGTCGGCGTGTATGAAAGAGGTATTGATTAAAGTCGGATAACTGAAGCAGTTTGCATGACACGAACGTGTTTCTTAACCTTATCCTGGGGTGGAGGGGTTAAACAGCAAGGAACTGCAAGGTCGGGTGGATGGCCGAAGACCGTCCTCGCTCTAAACGGTAAATGTTTCAATTGTGGACAAAATAGAAGAAGAATATCATAACTATCGACTTAATAATGCTAATTAAAAAACAGAGAATAGTGTTGACTCGACTGCGAATAGTCCACACCAGACTGGCGCTTGGGCAACTCCTAATTAACAAAAGGTTACAGAGATATTCCCTGTGTGGAGCACAAGTATCAGTTAAATAAATAACTGATACATTGCGAACAATTTGCGACGTACAGAACAAAGTTTGGCCTTTATTCGAGTCTCAAAGAGGTACTAAAACTCTGCAGTAATGGCAGCAAAAAGTTGACTGATTACATGAAACGAATAAATGCATATAGTCGCATTTCAAGCTTTCCCACACGTGGTTTTACTGAAATGGAACATTCCTATAAATTCTTTATGAATATTTGAATGAAATTTATTAGCGTGAGTATTGAATTGTGTGTGGCTTCTGGCAGGTATATTCCACCCAACAAGGTTAGGATTTTTCTGTAAGTGTTTTGTGTTCCTGAATGAATGTATTTAGTAGCGTGAACGTTTGAGTATCAGGTTAGGTGTTTGTATAGTAAAAAGGGGTAAGGACAGAATAATACCCCAGTGGATTATTGATGGATTAGTGATCCCCAATTTTTAGCGGTACAAATGGTATGCAAAGTTATAATCAGTATGGCTGTACTTATTAGCGTGAAAGAAGGCAGGCCTTCAGTGGAGTATCGAGTACCCCGAAGCCGTCAAACTAAGTTTAATCTTAGTCTGAATGCGTGAGTATGC